CAGATGAGGTGAATGCACGAATCTGCAAGGCTCGGGCCGCGTTTGCTAACTTGAGACACCTATGGCGTCAGAATTGTTTATCCCTGAATCTGAAGGGACGTGTGATTCAAGCTACAGTACGAGCTGTCTTGATGTATGGCTGTGAGACTTGGCCTATTCGAGCAGCGGAACTGAGACGTTTTCAGGGTTCGACAATGAATCCGTAACGAGACAGTTAGAAAACGTTTTCGGTTGTGTTACGGGTACTCCCATTGAACAATGTGTCTAGAGCCAGAAGCTGCGTCGGTTGGGACATGTGTTACGTATGCCGAACCATCGTTTGCTGAAGAGAGTACTGTTTTCCATGCCCAATTCGGAGTGGCGTAAACAGAGAGCTGGCCAACCCTTGACCTGGCAGAGGAGTATGAAGGAGATGACGAAACGCTTGGGTGCTGTCGGTGCTACTCGCCTTCCAGGATGGCGTGATCCTCACTGTGCCTGGTTGGAGACACTACAAGATATGGCTGCCAACCGATGTCAGTGGCGCTCCGTTTCTGTCAGTTTCAGTCCAGATTGCCTGAGTGAATGTCTGGAGGTGTAGGCACCTCGGAATGATTGTGTTAAGCTAGCACTAAGTCCCTCCCCCATCCACCTTTATTCTTTTCTTTACAATAAGGCTTTCAAATAAGTCATGGTTGTACGGCAGTGAAGCATCGGTGTTGAACACTGATGTCATGCTGTCGATGATGATGATGATGTGCATTCACTCATATGGTGCACGTAATTCACAGCTGCCATTAGCACCAATAACGGTACTAACATTGGCGAAAACAGTACTATCTCAGTCTAAATTACATTCGTTCACTCGTTTCTGAGCTAGTCTGTCATTCTTCTGCGTTCATCTCTATGCTGATTTGTGAGTTAAATTTGGCGTTTCACTTCTACTTTCACTGGCTCGTCTGATTGTCGCCTGAGTTGTATGTCATTGAAATGGCGAGCTGTAAACGTGTGATGGACCGATCAGATAACAAACACACGCAGGAATAATCGGTGACACGACCATCTGTCTCTCTGAAATGCAGTGGACGTGGCTTTAACCAAGCAATAAGTTATTCAGTCCGTCACTACCCCGACAGACATTCTCCAAATATTACTGTTACATCAGAGGAAACTTTGACATGATCATCAACAGCAAGGACGGATGCTGAATGACCCAGTTTTCATCTGTTTACAGAATGACTGAGAAACACGAGTAATGGTAGGTTCTGAGGTAATCACTGGTCACCAATTAGTGACAGCGGCACCTAGAGATGGTATGGTGGCTGATTATTCTCTGGGAGATAGTTGTAACAAATTAAGGGATGAGCGATAGAGGAAAAAAGTTTGTGTGAAGTCGGAAGTGATGATGACCAGTGTAAGTTGCGTTCCGTTATGCTCCATAAGCAACTTATAGCTATCTCTCCCGAACCATGAGAATGAGAATGCGGTCTGGGTACACTGTATTGGACGCCGGCTTAAATTCATCAATTGAAACTGCAGTTTCCCCATAGACGGATAACGACTGCACATAATGAGGCAAGTAATATTCGGAAAATATATGGAGCTATTGCGCCGTAGCCCGATTTTACTCCGGTTATATGGGTGATAATTGGAAGGTTTGCCTCTGACAGCTTATTGAATGAGACCAAATATCTTTGAGGACGAAATTAGGCGCTATTACAGAATAAACGCAGCTGAACTGATAAGGCTAAATCCGGTTGGTGTCGCACAGGGCAAACTCGTAGTGCGACACTGGTAATACCAACTGTGATTGTCTCCCATCATGTCGAAAAGGAGACAAACATAGCATATTCGACGTAAGTCAATGTAGAAGTAGCTGGAAAGAAGATTCAACCAAACCACCTCAGTGTTCCAGACAGCTCTTTGATGCATATAGAAAACCCGGGAGATGAACGCGTCGAGGTCTTTTGCCACAAACCTAACATAAACGATGACCTTAACTCAGTTGAGAATCCAGGACTTAACGGTAGACGCAATTACGGCGAAGGCATTTCAAGAACCCTGCAATTAGGCCTACCGATACCTTCGACATACGCATCTCTTACGGCAACATATAGGTTGGTTAACTGTGTCAACCTTTTGACCTCCACGGCAATGCAACCGGATAACATAGCTCCACTTAAGCTCCATCACATATCATCATCATTGACAGCATGACATCAGTGTTCAACACCGATGCTTCACTGTCGTACATAACCCTTGTCTGTGTACTCTGAACGGCGCCAACAGGTTTCTCATTTATTCCAGTGAGTCAGCCTACGCGCTCACCACCCTAAGTAATGGGCTCTAGATATAAGCCATCGTATGCACGGAATGTGGTTTCCGATTTTTTGATGGAAACGAAAATCCCGTCAACAGGATCGTCTCGTGTTAGTGGTACTGCGTCGGTCAGTACAGGCCACGAATGAGTACTTGGAACTGCACATGACCGAAAGAAGTCTACCATTGGAAGTTGGAATGGTGAAGCGAGAAGTTAAAGTAAAAAATAGCTATTTTTGCACCAGGATAAGCTGGCAGGAAAGTGCCTGCTGCTTAGCTTACATGAGTGTCACACTACTTACATGGTTTTCCTCTCCGAACCGCTGGATAGCATGCTCAAGAAGAGAGAGTTTACCAGCAGCCAGTATACTGGCTACGTCATCGGGATAAGCAGACGTCGTAACGTTTTGTTCCACTCCAGGTGATCCAGGAAGGTCCTCATTGTCATTTCCAAGGTCAAAGTCATTGAACTGTTCTGCAATCAACTGTTCGAGCTTATTTTTTTATTGGAAACAAGAAGGACTGGCTACCTCATCACGCAATCTTTTATCGTCCTGGTCGCCATCAGTTTCATCGGAAATCTTGAAAGGGCTGGTATCAAAATGAAGTATATCCGTCGACATTTGAGGTTAACTGATGTATTCCAACGAGCTGATGTTGAAACTTCCTGATACTGATAATATTCTATTGTCCCCAGTCCCTCCACAAGCCTGTTGTCAGGACCGCCAACCGAAAGCAAACGAGTTGAACCTCGCGCTCGTCTCTTGTTTTGCAATAGCGAAAGGTTCAAACATAATTCACGGATTGATACAGGGATTGAAGATTTTCCCTCAGCTTCCCGGGTCATGTTTTCTCCCGTCGTCCGGTGGCTTCTGTTCTTCTGGAAGGTACAACCGAAATCGGTACGTTCGAAATTGGTTTCGTTTTTCCCTCGTGCTAATTTGTGAAAGAATTTTTTTCCGTTGTACAATCTATTCACAGAGGACACACGAGTAACTGTTGAATTTTATTACTCTAAAAACATTTGAGAGAATAGCCTTGATATTTTGCGCACACTTCCTATTTTACACCAAGTCCTAATCATGACATCAATTTATACCGATCGCCCTCTATGGCCATTGATAAACCACAACAGATGTGGGCGAAATGGCTGCCCGTCGAACGTCAAACGCGGTATGCAATGCCACACCTGCAAGGCCAGGTGGCACTTCAAGTGCACGGGTTTGCGGGACGACCAGATAAGCCGATTAGCTAACTCTCCTGATCCGTTTGTCTGCGCCAGTTGCCTCTACGTTAAAGGTGCAATGCATACAGCAGCCAAGAGTAGAGCCCCCCAAAACGACACCAAATCCCCACTGCAGAATCAGAAAGACCGATGTGAGTGCGCCGCTTTGTTTGGGATACGCGACGCGAAATTGGAGCGTCTTTCTAAGGAACTGGAGGATTCAGACACTAAGAATGCGGCGACTTGGACGAAAGTTGGTAAGGAACCTTCTTTGCTGAACGAGTAACTCGCGCTATCCATACCGGGTCCTCTGGCTGCGAAGAAAGTCATACAAATCTCTGACGCGGCTGCAAAGACCGCCACAACGTCTCTGGTGGACAGGCGCCTAAGGGAAAACAGATTGATAATCTGGGGATCATTTTCCGGAAAAATCATGCCAGCGAACCTGGCACAAACAATCCTTAGCAATGTCCTCACCAAGCCTGATCAATCGCTCCACTCAGAATGGTTAAGCCAGAAGGGAACTCTTAAACTTCTAGTCACTCGTCTCCATCTGAATTACAGAAGATATTGGGGCGGGCTGGCAGCATTCAAAAGGCCAACCAAAGATCAGGCGTCTATCTGAGGATCGCCCCCTAGGCGCGCGAAAGCTTGGTCACAGCAGGTCAGCGATGGAGGCACGAAACAGGCTTCTGCAGGACAACAATTCAGCCGACCCAAAACTCATGTCCAAGTCGATTATCGTCATATCCTCTTGTGCTCCCTAAAGCAGGCCGACGAAACCAGCTACATCTCCGGACAGCAGTTTTTATTTGACCACCACAGGCCTCTCGCCCACGAAAAGCAGTTATGTACTAGAGGAGGCAAACCTCACATGCAAGCAGCGCCCAAAGTACGTGGAGCTATCAACGCTTATCTCCGTAACAGACGACGCAGCTGCAGCCATGCATTCCTGAACAAAGCCATAGCCTCTGAACTTGACTGAGTCAGGTGTGCGGGGACAACCAGCGAAACCAAGCTCCAGCTCCACTCCGTCAAACGCGGCCTCTTCGCTTCTGGATACAACAGCCGCCCAGGACCCCGACAACCAAAGCCATAAACATGACTATAGCCAACCGGGAAATCCCTCGTTCATCCAGTTGGCCACGCTGTTTGCCGGCGGATCAGGTGTCCACACAAACACGAAAGAAGAGTGACTGCAGCCAAACAACCCACATAAAATTCGCCAGATTATAAAACTGCTGGCTGGCTTCAAGATGCAGTCCTCCACAATAACAGGCCTTCAAGGAGCGTGTAGTGACAGTAATCTTCTCAGCTTAGTTCTCGGTCTGAGCCTCCCAAGCTAGCGTTCACGTCAAAACAACCACCAAAGCGGAACCGCTGTAAGTCAGAAATCAGCCAATAGAAAATTCGGAAACAAGCCACCATTCTGGACCTCGCTCGGAAAAACAAAAGCGTATTGTTCAAATACATGAGACATCGACGCAGAAACAAGCCATCCGCGGAGTACCGACGCAACAGTGGGATCTGAGGTTTAAAGAGAACACTACGCAGGTCTATTTTCAGCCCCAGCGTCTAGGTCACATCCACTCTTGTCAAGGCGTAACTACGAATAGCCTCTACCCAACTTGGTCTCCACGGTATTGGACATTCATCAACTCTTGCACAAGATCAACCCATTCTGCGCGTTGAGGCCCGAAGAGTTCCATCCAAGGATCTTGAAATAAACGTCCTCCACACTGGGAAATAATCTGCACCTGGTGTTTCGTCAGGCGCTCCACGAAGGCACCCTGCTCTCTGCTTGGAAGGAAGTTATTGTCATGTCGATCTACAAAACTGGTGACCGAATATCGCCTGGCAGCTACAGGGCTATAAGCCTTACTACCGTGCCGTGCAAGGTGATGCAACGCATTCTGAAGCTGTCCTAAATAACCTAACTTCTTAATCCGTGGATATAAGGCCAGCAACCATTTTCTTATCTGTTCGTTGTATGCGCGCAGTAAGGATAGTTTTTACTGTGTCATGAGTAGACAACTCGGTTAGTGTCTTCAAGAGCAGTCTGACGCGGGCCACATACAGTATCTGTAGGTCCATGTGAGTAATATGGCAGAAGGTTGGCCGAATCATCCGTAGAATGGCGAATGCGTTTTGAGTCGATGTTACGGTACGACGAGGGAGTGTTTGAAGAAAGATTGATAACAAAATTTTTTTGGGTATTTGTCCCTGTACATTCTCACCATGCACGACAAAGGCGTTCGCTAAGTCTCCTCCGAATGTCATATGAATGCATTTTCGTCATCCAGTGGAAGGTGCATTTCAATGGCTACTGCGTCTCCATCCAAATGTAGGGCTTGTAATGTCGTTTCAGAGACCCGGTTAGGCAAACCACCAATGTAAAAGCAAAGGAATGGAAACTGTTTCACTGCTTGTGATGGTCAATCTTGACGGCTTTTTGAGTATCCAGGTAGGTGGGTCCAGTAAACACCCAGATTTTCTACAGTACCAGATCACTTGCACCTTTTAGAAAGGTAGGGCGTCGAAGAAGTAGCTGACGGGATAACAACACAGTGCTTGGTTTTAATTTTGGCAGTCCGTTTACCCTAATGCAATGAGAAAAATCGAGGAAGGTGCAGGGTGTCGTACGAAAAAGTGCGGGCCCGGGTTCAAAACGCAGACACCTTGAGATTTCCGCCCGTGTGTCCGAAATTGATATCGTTTTTTACTCCTGCAAATGTATCAAATACTTTCTCACTGCCCAACTTATTCATTAAGTTAATACACGTCATGCTCTGAATTTTTCATTGGAGTATAGCCTGTGAGATAACTACTCTGCTAAGTTGCATACCATTTTCGCAGGGCTCCCGCCAATTCACAATCATGAGACAGATTGTTAAAGGTCGCTCCCTGTTATAACAGTATGTGAACCACAGCACATGCGGATGGAATTGATGTCCGTTGAATTTAAAACGTGGAATGCAATCTGCTGGGTCTGGTGGAAATTGGAGCGTATGGTTTTGAGGAATGAGCAGATAAACCGGTAATCAAATTCCAAACTGAACCAAGCTCCCGCTTCTAGGTAGGAGATACCGGTGCAAATATTTCATTTTTATCGGTACACTGGAAGGACGCGAGAAAATAGAATGTAGCAGCCTGTGTGAATGTCGATAGTGAACGCTCGTCCCTAAACAAATGCTTGGGGCTTAGCATCCAAGCTCAGCTGGCTGAAAAGACTGTTATCCAACTATCTGATACGGCAGTTGGGATTGCCACAGGCCAGGCGCATTAAGGAGTCCGGGGCGGTCATCTGGGGTGTCGTTTTCTAGGGCAACAGACCCGACCGAACTGGTACAATTGTCCCTTGGCCGTGGTCTTACAAAGCCTGTATACGAATGCTTGCCGCGGATTCGTTACGCGAAGATTTTAGTCTTCTAGTTATTATTTCCTGTCCAAATGCCGATCAGCGTAACGAAATGCGGACTAGTAGTATTTAAAATGCACTCCAATATACCTACCAAACATCCCAGGATCATCTTATAGAGACGCAAAGCTTAGGTCAAAGCGGTTGCAGGGAAGTGTGTAGCAGGCTTTGCCTGGGCGACGGGACAAAGGATTTCTGTGCTATAACAGAACCGGTGTACTTGTGCGTGCAAAAGCATACTGAACCAACTAATTACGACTCCAAATTACAGGACCTCCTTAACCTTGTCAAACCCATCGACTACCAATGACAGTGAGGCTTACGTTAAGGCCAACCTTTCGAGGGCAGGGCATCAAACATATGTAGAGTTATCGCGGCTAATTCTCCTAGTGGACAACATGGGTGAAATTGTAACTTCACACTTTGGTCTCAAAATATAAGTTACGTTGAACCAATGTTGCAGAAACTTAGAGAAATCTATTCACGGAAGAGCCGCAAACTTTGACCTCGACGTCGGAGACTACTGGGAGGGCCCTACTACCACTTGTTGGTCAGCCAGGACAAAGATTACTTCGCCACACCCACCAGATGAGGTACCTGTAGTAAAAAAGCCGTGGAAGGTGCTAAAAGTGTGCGATTATCGGCCTCCAACTTCACACCATCAAAACCAACAAATTTCGCTGCGAACCCAGACGTCACTCGTGACTCCGAGGGCCACCTCTACAAATCTGGCAACACCTGTCGGAAAATATTACGTACTGCAAGAGCTCATGCTGATTGCAGATGACCCTGGAATTACACATACAAAGAAGAACAAGCATGACGAACAAGCCGAGTGGACTACATCCTGTAAGAAGTTTGCGTTCTGGATTCAAGGCACAGTCCTCTGCGGAAAACAAGCCTCTCGAGAGCATCACCAACGTGACTGTCAGTGCTGTTTGTCCAATCAAACGCACGAGCGACCCGGCAGGGTTTACCAGGGACAACTTCAAGGCCCAACTGAACACGGAAGCTCAAGCGGTCAAACACAGGCATGTTCGCCACAAATCCTGCAACAGAGAACGGAAGAGTCTAAAATATGAGGTCCTGTGAGCCCAGCACACCAACCGTCGAAAGTTCGCTCCGAGAGTAGAGACGGTTGTCATAGTGTCAACCGTGCCCATAACCCATAAGTCTGCTGATGTTCCATGTCTCAAGACAGCTCTCTGCTTCCCACTGTTGGTCATGGTAAATTCCGGTCCGCAATCTACATTCTTTTCAGCAGTTGCCTTATCTATCACAGAAGTCCATATACTCACATCAAGCTCACATCAGACGTATTCAGCACTGCAATTCCAATGGGTAGCAGCCTCGTCTTCTCAACCGACGAAAACGTGGCGCATGGCCTCAAACGCTCCAGATGCTGCTCTGCTTAACCATAACCCCACCTGTGTCTAGGAGCAATAATATGAACGCACGTTCCCAGCTGATGGGTGGCATAAACATATTGGTGCATCCAGAATTGAGGCTCGACTGATGTCCGGGGTAGCCACAAAAGTAATGAGGATTATCCGATGCAAACACGCCCATGCTTTAAATGACATCTTCTGAATGTGGTAGACGTCAAAGGAGGAGAATCATAGTTATCAGGTTTTTCGTCTCTGAATTAACTGAATAATAAACTGGAGCGGAATTGGGCCGGGGTGCAAAACGTGGAATCCTGCCTGGTACTGGACAAGACTGTGCATCGCAGAAAATAAGAAACCAGAACTTCTGACGAATGATCAGATAAAAGTAGGCAAAGTACTTAGGCATCATCCAAAAGCAAAGGTGCACTACGTGCACGTGTACTACTTCGCGCATAAAGCAGCGCCAGAGACAAACCAAATGCCTTCTTTTGGGGGAGAAAAGGTAAGCGCACGACCAACCAGGAAGGCCACGTTCCATAAAAAAGAACCTCAGAATGCCAAATAACTATTGGACTTCAATGGCTTCAACAAAATCTCTACACAGAATCCAGCGAACACGAAGGTCAATCCGTCAGTTCAGCAGCAACCTGGTTGAAAGTAAAATTTTAAATTGCGCGAAGTCCCTTGTAACTTTTGTACCCGCCTGTTTGCCATAGAGCTGTGTTGATCCTTGTTGATCAGTATCTTTACAGCGTCAAAACACCAACAAGAGGATAGCAGCAATATATAGCGGATATCTGGGGCCCATCTAGAGCACCTTGCAGCCCTATAATAACCCCGGTAACCTCATGAAGTCCAATCCTTGTAAGGTGCAAAACCTATAGCCTCTAACTTAATTAGTCTGCACAGAGGAAAGTGATCTACTCTTACGTCAGACAACCTGTATCGCACAAAACGCTTGAAAACTTCCATAACCCAATCTCCCTGAACTCAACTGCGTAAATTCAAATGTTCCGCCTAACCCTGCCTTCTATTCATTGACATTTTCTCATTATCGCATCACCCCATCTCTATCCCATCCATTAAAACACTGCATTGCGCAAACTATGAACATGTTCTTGGTTCCTCAAATGAACCGTATTATCAATTGTTTAAATTCGCATTTTGGGCACGTTTCGAACTGGTTTGTCACGCTTGATACTCGTCTCCGTGTTTGTCGTGGGTCTAAATGTCGGTCGATAACTGTCAA